AATTAGAAACACTTTATCAATGCACTATTGCTTTTGCTGATAATAATCGGTGCATTTAATTATAGTGTATTATTTAAGACCACTTTCAGTGAAATTATGCATTTATCGTTTACACAATGTAAAATAGTATCTTTGATGGTTTTATTTCTCAAATTAAACTAAAGAGATATTTGTAAACATGTGTTTATCATCACAATTGCATTGGGTTCATTGATAAACTAACCTGCTGTGTTCTGCTCGATCAATTATCTATAAATTATGATTGTGTTGGATAAATAAAGTATATATATATATATATATATATTTATATATATAGGAAAAAAATATAGGGAAAAAGAATTAAGGCTGAAAATGCACCATATATTTATATTCAATACGAATATTCACATTTTGTCTATTAAAGCATCAAATTGTTGATAAAATGTTCTCAATAGTATCTTACCGGTTCCACTGTTTAACAGATATTCGTGAATGAATTGAATATAAATATTTGGTGCATTTTCAGCCTTAATTTTTTTTTCTATTTTATGCACAGCGTGGACAAAATTTAAAACACTTCAATATATATATATATATATATTCAATAATGTAAGATAAAGAACATTTAGACTTAAACCGAATGTCGGAGTTGAATTTTGTAAATCAACTAACAACACAAGTTGTCTTTTTCACCAATGTTAGTGATAGTTTGATATTAGGTCCCATAACACAAAAAGGTGAAATTTATTGACTATGCGGTATTGGCTTTGCTCATTGTTGTGGCCGTACGGTGTCACCTTTAGCAGTTAATTTCTGTGTTATTTTGTCTCTTGTGGAGAGTTGTCTCTTTGGCAATCATACCACATCTTCTTTTGGTATATTGTATTGTATTATGAACTAAAAATCTGAGTAAGAGATATTAGCAAGAAATAATATGTAGGTTTAAATAGATACCTAGAATTAATTATACTTTTCTTTGTATGTGTGATATGTAGTTTTATGTAAAAGAGTTGGAAAATGTAGAAACGGTACGTGTTGATGGAGTTGTGTTTCGAACTTTATGATGAAATGACTATTATCGTTGTTAAGTGAAGTTTTGTTACACTCTGGATTCTTTAAAGTTTTGACACAATATAATGCTACAATTTTTCTTTTTCACAATCAAACATCCTGTTTGTTTAAAGCGAAACCATAAATAATTACAGTCTTTCGTAAAATTCCACATTTATCAAGGTTGCGGTTTTATCTTGAAGGTCAATATCAAGTAATAATTTTTGTAAACTCTTTAAAACATTTGTTTAAGAGGGAAATTGATGCATATAATAGCATGAGTAATTACATGGTTGATAACGCCACAAAGATTATACCACAGTATCAGATAAAACACATACAAATATATATATATATATATGTGTGTGTTACTTAAATGCGTTTAAAAAGGTAGATCAGAAGACATCGAGGGGCCACTAACTATGTAATGAGTGGTAGTGATGAGAATATTTCATGCTCTATGATATATGAATAGGGTGAGAAAAATCAGATTGAATATATCGATAGGTTGATACTATCACTTGCTTGATTATATCATAAGTATTTGAAACTAATCTGATGTCCGTATTTATTTTTGATGCGGTTAAACCAAAGCGGCTGCCGTAAATGCATCAGCTATTTGTCAAACTAATTAAACTCTATTTATTCAAATGTGGTATTTCCACTGATGCTAGTTATAGATGCAATAAATCCGATCATTTTGACATGTGCACCTAATTCACATTAAAGGTTTGTATACATGAAACATGATAACAACTATTTAAAGAAATTACTTAGTGTCAGCGTACTTTAAGAGGGAACGGCAATGTAACTTTTTATCAGTTTTTCATTAATATTAAACTCTGTGAAAGTGTTAGTTACTGTCTGGGGTGTTACTTCATTTATCTGACCAAACATCTTTTATTGACTTTTATAATAAAGATTTCTTCATAATGAAAGATAAAAAGGGGTAATAGAGAAAAGTGTTAAAGAAGTGACGAATTTATTGGAAAAGCAAGGTGTGATCATTGCGAATGCGTTGCTTCTAAACAAGAACCTGACGATGAGCGGAACCCCCAAAAAATCTATATACTAATGTACCAGAGGATGAAATACATCAAAATATATCTATAGATATAAGAAGATGTGGTATGAGTGCCAATGAGACAACTCTCCATCTAAGTCACAATTTGTAAAAGTAAACCACTGTTGGTCAAAATATAGACTTGCTACAATTCCCTTCCTTTTATTTATTTCTTACTACTTTATATGTTTACTGAAAACTGCCAGTATACTGATTGCCCTTGGAGAAAGGCCTTTCTTTGCAGATGTCAGTATAATGGTAATCTCTTTAGCAGTTACATTGTTAAAGGAGAAAATTTAAAAAAAAATAAGGAAGAGACATGAAGTAAGTCTAGTCAAAGTACGGTCTTTAACAAGGAGCCTTGGCTTGCAAACAGCAAGCTGTATAGATAATATAAAAAAGAAGATGTGGTATGATTGCCAATCAGACAACTCTCCACAAGAGACCAAATGACACAGAAATTAACAACTATAGATCACCGTACGGCCTTCAACAATGAGTAATGCCCATACCGCATAGTCAGCTATAAAAGGCCCCGAAATGACAATGCAAAACAATTCAAACGAGAAAACTAACGTCCTAATTTATGTACAAAAAATGAACGAAAAACATATATGTAACACATAAACAAACGAAAACCACTGAATTACAGGCTCCTGACTTGGGACATGCACATACATACAGAATGTGGCGGGGTTAAACATTTCAGCGGGATCCCAACCCTACCCCTAACCTGGGACAGTGGTGTAACAGTACAACATAAGAACGAACTATACAAATCAGTTGAGAAAGGCTTAACTCATCAGATGGATAAAATACAAATATTACAAATACCAGTGGACGTGGCTGCATGGGTACTTGTACATCCCAACAACAAAAAGACACTAAGTACAGATATGAGAGTAATCGCAGTTACTGACAGCTAGTTCAAAGCCAATAACAACTAATAAAAAAAATCATGCATCTAAAGCTTAATGCATGCATCTAGGTCTGTCTTTTGGTTAATGGTGTATGATATTATTTATAAACGAAATATATGAAAAGGATTGAGTACTTGGCGTATCAGATGCTCACCCCTACTAACAAAAAGTTTGAAACAACTAACGATTTAAATTTGTAACAAATACTTCAAATACTGACAAATAATTTTTGAGTTATTTACTAATTACATAGTTTTAATGAGATTTTTATTGAAGTTTTGGTATTAATGATCTTACTCATGAAAAACAATAAAATTCTTTTCATTCAATTATGTCTCATAACATTACATGTACTAGTGACTGGGCTATTTCGGTAATAGCAACGGAAATTAGTTATATGAAAAATGTTTTGTAATATGTACACGCGGGGTATTAATCGAATATTTAAACACACTTGAATTTATTCATCATTCAATGATTTTAACCATACTTTATGGACACTGTCAATTTAATTTAAATCTACACTGTACTGTTGAGTTACTTTGACTAACAATATAGCATGATAAGCTACATGTAATAGCAAATATGCCAGGTTGTTTGAAAACGTCTCAATAAATCATGTAAATGATGCTGCATGAGACTAATTTCTTAATTAATCGGTCATATATTTTTATAAACTGCGGTAAGTATGAAGTTCTAAAGTTTAAGTAAGTCTCCTGAATTAAGTATGCCCGCCATGTAAATTCGAAACATTGAACTCAGTTTCCAAGCTTTTTATATCTGTTTTTTTCCTTTGTCTCCCACAGTTTCCAACTAACCGTTTGGCCTGGAACAAGTCTGATGAATGTGCTTTTTTTAATCAATTTGTATGTCATCATATCGTATTTACGTTCTTTATTACCCATGGGTCGGCATCGCTTGACATATATTCCCAGATAATTTCATTCAAAGACAAGGTTGAAATTCCCCAATCATTAGACAATTTGTATTCCTTTAAGTGTATTCAAATCATTTTGGTGTTTTTTTTTTCTCCAGACCTTAAGGATGACTGGAAAATAAAACGTCTTCTTTGGCCGATAAAAATGGGGTGTCCTGTTGGCTATGGGGGATGCATAAGTACGCAAACACGTCCGATCAGAATTGGGATGTTACATTCGATGCCTAATGTTGTAAAAGAGCGCCATTAAGAATCCTTGCAATTACTCTTTGTTGGGTCCACAGACTGCCCGTTGTAAGACTAAATTTCTGTCCTTATCCGCTATATCTTCATCTTCCAGTCTAAATTTCCTATCCCTCATCTCGGACGACCCCCATTATAGGACCCACACAATTATTGATATCTAAATTGTTAAATCGTTCTCTGACTGAACAATTATGAAGTACTTGCTGCTGGACGTTATCAAACAACAATCAATCAATCTTGGAACCTTCAACGTTTCAAATTATCGCTTTCTTAATAATTGATGTCGTTCGTACCTTAACAACGTTATTCTAGAAACACGTTTTGTGATCACGAAAATCATTTTTATTTGTGTTGATATTTGTTTATAGAGATGACCTAAGATTGATCCGTCTCTGTCTTTTTTGTGTGACTATATATACTGTATTCCTATGGTTTCTTTTTTCATATAAATATCTTCATAAAACTGTATTTTATTTTTGTTTGTTAGTTTATAGTTTCATTATTACATGAAACCGTTGGTTTACTCATTCGAATCGTTTTACATTTTGGTATGTCGGGGCCTTTCATAACTAGCTGTGTAGTTTGGGTCTGGTCATTGTTGAACTCCGTATGGCGACCTTTAATTGCTAACATCTATGCTATTTGGTCTGTGATAAATAGTGGTGTCATTGGCAATAATATCACATCTTCTTATTTTATATCAAAGATGTTTAGGCACTCTCCACTGTTTTTGTATAATATTGCTTTCTTCATGAAGATTATATCATTGAAATATTGGAATCTAGATGACAGAAATTATGAAATATTTTTTATTATTATATCAGGAAAAACTAACAATTGTGACCATCTTAGAAGCAAAAATAACACTTCCAAAAAAATAAACAAGTGTACATTCTTATTCATCATATGTATATAAAAAAATAACACATAAAATATTTTGGACATATTAAATTCAATTTATTAATATCACAATTTTAGATGTTTCTTTGCAAATTAGCAGGACTATAAAAACCTAAATATTATATCAAAATTGTATTTTTGAACCAAACTTTAGTACAATATTTTTGTCGGAAATATAACGTAAAATTAAAACGATAAAATATTTGTATGAATTGTCAAATCTTAAACCATGGAATACCTACTAGGAAAATAGATAACTCTTATATAATATACAAATTATTCGTGTTAACTTATTATAACATTTTTTTAAACATGTTAACAGCACACGAATTAATTATAAACTACTCATACACACATTGTAAAAGCTTTATTCAAGAAGGTTTAATAGGTAAAATAACCATTCGACATGCATAAAAAACTATTTAAAGAATATACATGTATAAAAACACATAAAAAGCTAAAACGCAACTTTGACATTAATGACATGATTTGACGATGATTGATTTACAAATGATAACTTTTGCGATATTTACATAAGTCAAAGAATGCCAGTTTTGGCGCTTCAAGACATATAAAATTTAAAAGACAATTTATGTTTATAATCAGGATAATCACCTTAATATAATAACAAAAACATACTTGCTACAAAATACTGGTGATATGCAAGATCCAACCTGCTGTGTATATTCAAGTCAATGTTCTTTGAAAAATAACTAGGGTTAGCAATTTTACTACACAATGCATTGTTGTATCTAAACTTGTTTTGACATATATAGAATACTTTGGTTCTTAAAGTGCATACACATATATTTTAACAGTAAGCCAGTAACTTCATCTGATCAATACATTTATTCAAAAATATGTTTTTTTGAAATCTAAATATAATTTCAAAATAAGTTCGTACCCTTCAAAACAAAACTTTTCGCCACGTTGAAAACGTTTAGGGGGTAAACATACAAACAACACAAACTTTTTTTCCACTTTCATTGTATCTAACTTTCTTGGCCATTGAAACTTATTTCTTTCTAAAAGACAAGGATGCATGAAGTTTACAAGTAATCCATCTGCTTCAATACTATCTACAAGACCTGGGTACCAGGTATTCTCAAAAGCAACAGCAATCCATACATTTTTATCTATAACATCTGTAATACTAGTGGCAGGACTGACCCATGGAAAATCAATGTCAGAATTACTTTTTTCTAGATTTCCATCATTATCTTCGTGAAGACCTGGTTGGAGCACAGCAAGAGTTATGTTGCTTTGAGTTGTCATCTTATTCCTAGGCAAATAGGTTTTTCGTGGCTTCTGTTTTTTCTGTAAAAAAGAATCATTATTTTTTTTAAATTTTGTGTTGATGGCCGATAATTCAAAGTGGTGTAAAAGCGTTGTACATTTTGTATGAAGCGCGGAAGCGCTTATTCTAAAAATGTGCGCACGGTCAACCCTTGTACAACCATATAAAATTACTAAAATAAGCATGTAATACTTATAATTACATGGTTTTGCTAGGATCATGAACACATGATTTCTATCAAGTTTTTACTTGCCCACTTTATTGTGGAAGCTCGTGTCATCATGATTACATTTCATTTTGAAGTTAAGGTTAATTTCAGAATGACGTTTATTTGCTGTTAGTTATTCAAAATAACATATTATAATGAAATATACATGAACTTGAATATAATATGTTGCACTTTATATGTCTTTTAGTTAATGATGTATCGTGAATAACTATCCTTTTTTTAACTAGATCGATACGCTATGCACGATTTTTAACGTGCAAGTTCGATTTGACCTGACTATGGATCGAACTCTCTCTCAATCTCTCTCTCAGTCATATAAATTCAGTTAGCGCTTACCTTCAATGTATTAACAAAATTCAGATTTTGCAAGAATTTTTCGTTGTCTTTGATATTTTCCTGTCGAAACAGTTCATACGGAGTAAGCTTAAAAGATATCAATAAAACTATATTAGTAAGTATGTATAAATATCAACATATGTTGTCAGAAACTTTGGTTTTTTTAATTCATATTTTCCAACCATTCGATATTTCATGCAATAGTATAATTACATTTTCATGTTAATACCAATTTGAATTCGGTCACGTTTAATTTACGTTTAGCATCGAAAGGACTGCGTTGGAATGTATCATTACCAAACCATGTAGGGTCAGACTATATACCAATGTCTCTTGTTGGTAGACTTTTATGACGTCACTTGCAGTAACTTGAGCCTTCCCGCAATTGTAAAGGGTTCGTATACTTTGCGGTATGTCGAAAGGCAAAATATTGGCACTGTCCAACAGACACTCGTTACCAGTCACAGTTTAAAATCCAAGCCCTTCATACTAGTCTTACAACTTTGCTGAAACTTCTATTGTATTTATTGTTAATTTGCTTTCATCTTGAAAAAAAAATGAAATATCCCTACAAAACGTTAAACAAGCAACAATCAATCGTTAAAGCTCGATCATACTCTCAAGGGTGACTAGGGAATAGAAACATGGCTTGGTCTTCTTCTGACCGGCAGTAAAACCCTTTCCAAAGTGGGTCGTCCGTTTGCCTATACAGGATGTATAAATACATGTACGCAGCCACCTCCGGTCAGAATGGGGATGTCAAATCCGATGTCCCATGCAGAGAGCGTACAACCCTAATAACCTTTGCAAAAACTGTTTAAGGGGACCGTAGATGATATGCTTCAAGTCAAAATGTCTGTCCATATCAAAATACCCTTATTTTCCAGTGGCTGTCCAAATTTGAAGACCTTTACCTCGAACGGTACTTATTACAGGACCTACATATTGTATCAGTTGTTAATCTGTTCTAGTCCTGAACATGCATGAAACATTTCCAACTGAAGCAACCAACAATCAATCATAAATTACAGTTCGATCGAGATAGGGCGATATGTTTACCGTTAATACACGATGATAATGAACGGTTATGCACATTTTCAAAATAATGCAAATAAAACAGAAATGTAATAGTATTGATAATATAAAATAACTAATAACGCCAATGACAAAAAGGAAATGAATTGCAATAGTATGGATTTTCTGTGTCAAAGTACTAGTGGTGTCGTCAGTTAAGTTCTCAGTGTTATCATCTATTTTAATGGCTTTTCAACTTGCTTTATTTATGAATTTATTAATTATATCTCGTTTGATTGCTTTTTTTAAAATTTAAAAGAACTGGACATGAACTTTACAATGTATATATATATATGAAGATGTGGTATGAGTGCCAATGAGACAACTCTCCATCCAAGTCACAATTTATAAAAGTAAACCATTATAGGTATATATTATTCATCTGTTGTTTTTTTTATTCAAAAGTTTTATGTCGTTGTTTAATATTTTATGTTAAATAACAAATTATTAATATTCCACTTTTTAATTGTGTACATGTATGTTAAACTTACATTAGCACTTTCATCTTCTGTCTGATCTCTATTATCATCAAAAGGAACAACACCCTCAATTTCATCTGTATCTAAAATTCAAATTTAAATTAGTCGTTTGTTCCTAAATACAAACTATACAATGCTATAGTCCTGCAATGATATAAATCACATTTAATACTGAGAAAAACGTGAATACTTTAGGAAATTTTTTTTTAAAATAGTGAAGACCTTCTTTGACCTTTTGTGGATAGTTGTCTCATTTGCAATCATACCATTTCTCTTTCTTTTTTCAAACTGTTTAACAACTGGTCGGTACACTTATTGAAATATAAAATCACACAACCGACGATACAAAATATTGAATACACTACCTGTTGAACCATCTTCAATCTGGATAATCTTCTGTAGTCCTTTGTTACTTAATTGTGTTTCCTCACTTTTGCTTTCTAAAAAATGAAACTATATATATCTTAAATGACCAAGCCTTTTGATTTGAAAATCAAAGACGCAATGTTTCATACGGCTTCATTTGAAGCGTAATTTGTTCATTCATTTTGTATGCATGCGATTGTGTTATCTAAGTGAAGCGCTATTTCGTCTATCTTCTGTATTTTTTATGAGTTACAACGTTATTTTTCAGTCGCATAGATTATGTACTTTCAATTTTTTTATTTTAGTTCCATTACCGGTATATATTTTAGTCAAAATAAGCGTAAGGGTGCCATTTCCTTCTTGGTATACCGGTACATTGAAAAAAACGCTTTCTTTAAGAAAAGAATGCAGATCGATAAAGTTTACCAGGTAACCTATGTTTAGTAGAAGCTATGAAATATTTACAAATTGATACTTTAAAATCTTATCTATATGTTATCATGTATGCAAAATATTCACTACCTTTTTGTACTAATCCTTTTTTTATTTTTCCATTAGCCTTCGTACTGCGCGATGTTTCCTTGTAGGCTAAAAAAGAAAAATTGAGTCAATTGCATAACCTACTATTCAATATATAAACAAATTTAAAAAAAAAACACTGTCAGATTGTTTTTAATTGAAAATAGAATACAACTAACTATTCAAATAAATAAGAACTATTTTTGTTTATGAAGACCATTTTGTACATTACTTTATTTGTTAAATATTTTCTTTCATTTGTACGACTATTTTTTTTCAAAAAGGTGACTGATATTGTAAATTGCTGAAGATTGTATTTCTATATGTGTTTTGTTATTTGTGTCGTTAGTCTGCAGTCTCATAGAGTACAAATACAAATTTCGGTAGTCCCGTAGAAACGTGCTCGTTTTCAGTGCTGGAGGTCGTGAGTTTGTTCATTTGGAGTACGGGGAAGAGGTTGATCAAACAAAAAATGTGAACAAATGTTTTTATCTTTTTTCCGCTAAAAATGAGGCGTTAAGGAGTAAAAAACCAACCACTAGTCAACTCGCCGAACTAGAATAATGTATTATTATAGGTTTATATGTACGTGTTCCTGTGATTATTATTCTATGAACAGACGCTTTAAAATTAAGACTCAAGTTAGTCGGTCCAGTATACAAAGCAGGTTTCATAAGTATTTCTCATTTTTTATATAGATAAGACAATTAGTGTTCCTTTTTTAATTGTTTTACACTAGTCATTGTGGGTCCTTTATAACTTGCTGTTCGATGTGAGCTCCGTGTTGAAGGTCTTACTTTGACCTATAATTGTTTACATTTTTATACATTGTGACTTAGGTGAAGAGTTGTCTCATAGGCAATCATACCGCGCTCTTATTTATATTCATATGTATATCACATGAGCATGTTTACACCATATTTAGCATGTAATATTTGCCACTGAACATACATCATACCATTGATATCATTGGCGTATAGCCTATACCTCCTTTGCATTCACTTTGAGTACGCCTGATAATTTATTAATGTAAACTTTATATATACCTTTCTGGGCGTTTGGCTTCTTCGTTCTATTACGAATGTTCTGTAATGGTGAATCGACACCTAAAATAACAAATCGAACTTTATTCATACTTTGGCTTGAAAATAAATAAGTTCAGGCATGAACATACATTTATTAGTAATTGCAGAAGCCAGCATGCAGAAATATTGAATTCCAATATAATTGATTTGAAATTCTGTTTGTAGTGTATTGACTTGTTTTATAAATTTTGAACACTCAGTTAATAACAATCCGGATAAAAAACGCACTACAAATATGACCGAATCCTTTTCTTATTAAAGAATCGTTAACAACAAACATGTTTTAAGTTATGACAAAATGGAATGTTAACTTACAGATAGTAAAAGTTTCTGAAGTTTCCAGTGATGTGCTTGCTCCCTCAAGGGCCTTCTTCTGTGTTTCGGCAAGCTGTTTACTATGCCCGGGCCCAAAATGTAACTTTGAAGGCGTTATCATTGGAACATCCTGCCTTACGTCATCCCTGGAGGGATAATAATTTTCTAATGTCTTTGCTCTCGCCAATTCCTCTTTTGTCAGCAGTGACTGTACATTTTTAAATTTGTGATACAGCGCGCCTTTTCCAATATATCTAGGACGGGATCGTCTAACCCTTGTCATTTCGTCCTTGACAAGAAACATAAACGAAACAGGCTCAAGTTCTAGCTCACGTAGCCGAGTGAGCTGTTTCGTTATTTGTTTCATAGCTTCACTCTTTATTCTTCTTTCGTTTGATACCTTTGCTTGCATCTCTTCTTCTTCAGTGAGATAACTTTTTTTCTCGCAGACCCGAGATTTTTCAACACTGCAAAAATAAAAGACTAATAATATATATTTGTCAGAACAGAAAAAAATGCTGATGTTGTTTGGTTGATAATGACAATATCTTGATCCTCTTAAAGTATAAAGCAAAGTGACAACAATAACACAAAAAAATTTATATGAACTTACATTGTTCAGCAAAATAAGATGATGCATTTTATTTATTAATCTTTTGTATTATTATAAAAGAAGCGAATAGAAGTTTATATTGTAGTTGAAACTATAATATTGACCAACATTTTAGTACTTTGTGCAACCAGGCTTATATTGTTTAATTTCTTACTATATTTTATAGAAATTATCACAAATTAGTGCTTTTATTAAGGAAAAGAAATTACTTATTTTATAGAAATAAACATGATTTATATGCATAAATATATAAAAACGAAAGTATTAACTTATATTTATCTGAACTTCATTATGCAAAATATGCACAATCATTGACAAAATTTCATCCTTGGGAATGGCATATGAATATATGGTGGAGATACACTAGTTTTTGTAAACTAATAGACCCACCCCCTTCTTAAATTCTACCAGTATATCGAAAAAAACGTAAACACAAAAATAACAATGATTTTTTTTTCTCGAAAGTTTAAAGTTTACAGAATTAAACATTTAAAAACAAACACTTTTTAATTAGATGATAGTGTGGATTGTATTAAACTCGAGTATGATAATGTGCGCTATACGGTTTTTTACCTTGAAATGTAATGTTGTACTTCATTTTAACATGTTTTAGATCCATTTGGTAAATAAAATATTGAAGTCGTGGTATCATTTCTGTCTCATTGCAGTCTGTATTCATCTTTTATTTGGATATTTATGGGACATCATTTAATAATTACTTTCTTGCATTCTTTTGCATCGTATACAAATTCTTGTAACAAACAAAACATGTCGAATACATGTTAGTCTATCCAATTAAAAATATTATTTATAAATTCTATCTGCATTCTATCTGCATTCAGCGAAATTTGAATTTCAGAACTGAAAATTCTAATTACCTAGAGTAATGGGACATTTGTTCATTTCCAATAAATTATCAAACTACGAATATACATTAAACTTAAAAAGTTTTTAAAAGACAAAAATAAAAATGTAAAAATAAATATATCATATAGTGTAAAACTGTCTTCCATACAACTATAAATCATCGTCAGAGACAACTGTATCAGTGCTCAGCACGACATCCTGGATTTCAAGTAACAGGGTCAAAAAAATGTCTTTCTTCATTTTGTCCTCATCAAGACTATCAAGTACTCTTGTATAATGAGTTTGCAGAGCTTCATCTGAAATTTCATTGATGATTTTTTTCTTAATTTTTTTGACAATCTCTGACTTTGGAATTTTGATAAGGTGACCAGCTTGTTCTTCTTCTGTAACATAAACTGGCTCACACTGATTAATGTGGGGACTTGGTTCTTGTTCCAAAACCGTGGTATTAATCCAATTCATGCGCTTAGACGTTGACGTTTCTAAAAAGTTATTTAAATCTGAATGTAATTTTTCGCCGCTCATTGAAACAAATTCATCTTTTGAGAGATCGAGATATGTTCGTAGAGACTGTCTAAATCCGTTTACAGCGTTTTCTATGCATAACTGTTTTGATGAATGCTCATTACTCTTTCTGGGACCAAGCCATGAGGAAAATTTTGCCTGAAGACTCTCTATGTAATCAAGGTTACAACAGACGGAGTACCATGTATCATCAGAAGGAATACTTCCACTGGGAATAAATTGCTTCACGGCTCTATTTTTTTCTTCCAAAAGAAAATCCATGTCTTGACCTTTTGATGGATGACCACTGACGGTAAATGATATATTGCTGTCCCATATATTTCGCACGTCATCTGGCATAAAATGATATTGAAGTGTGTCAAACAGTTCTATGTTTTGATAATGGGGATGAGATCTACCATAAAACAGTTCCTTCAGGTGGAATTTGGCACTGTGTACAAGGTCGCTGTTGTTTCTCCTGACACCCATTCTGAGGTTAATGATAGCCTGTGAAAATCTAAATACTTGGAGATGAAGGCTTTCCCACCTAGGATTGTTGGATAAAACTTCTTTGTAAAATGTTAGATACGTTTCTGGTGTAGGGCTTTCTTTAGAAAGAATCATTTTTCTAACGAATGGAAGAACCATTTCTTTCATTGCCGTTGTGTGAAAAACTAGTAAAAGTTGCCACGCGACGTGATGATCTTTACATGTTTTTGCAAATGTCTTTGCATTATCCGTTGTGAAGTTGAGTAATTCGCACATGCTCTCCAAATAAGGCGTCCAATTCAGTTCGAAGAAGGATTTAATAACATTCATCTCGTAATGTCCTAAGCCTATACGCAAATACAACCAGTCAAACTCTTTTGCAAATGAAGGAATTAAGTTTGCATGATTTATTCTGTGGTGTTCCCTATATAACTTGCGAGACATAAATGAACTTTGACAATAGCAGCATATGATACATTCGTCTAGAATTTTGTGATATAAACTATGCGGCCTTCCATCACAGCAAACGAAAGTCCAGTGACGATCTTGGCCATTATATTTCATAATTCCACTATTTATACCAATTTGACGAAATACAAGTGCTACCGAATCATTGCTGTTAGGATTTACAAAGACCGGTTTACCCATTACTAAGTCAGTTTTCTCTTTATGGTTTGTTTTGACATGTTCGAACCGGCAATGTTCATTGTTGTCCCTCTTTTCTTTTCCCAATACAATCTCTTGCGATCCTGGATGTCTTTTAACCTCGTCAATTTGTTGTTTCTTTGCTCTTGCTTGCTTTATGCCCTCCTTCTGCTTACAGTTGTCACAAATAAGTTTTCGTCGGGCATTTTCTTGTCCGCAGATTGTGCATACCAGAATTTCCTTTTCTCTTGTCTTTTTGTCAATTTCTTTGTCAATAAAATCTGTAATACAGTTTTGGTTTAGTTCTTGCTCTTCGACAACGTCTTTAATTGCTTTTGACAGGAAGAAATATAGCTGTTCATAATGTGTTTTTTCTAATTGCTCGTACTCAGGAAGCTTACTGTCTCTAATATTTTGGACTTCATTGATAAAGTACTCTTTTTCCTCACGGACTTTGACAACTTCCTCATTAATAGCACCAGACATTTCGATATGTTTTAACTTTTCGTCAAAGTGTTTTACTGAAAACCAGTTTTTAGGTTTCAGAGACTCATCGTGTTGAATTGCCCTTTGATTATCGGAATGCATGCTTGCATTGACAATTGTAGTTATGACTGAAGATACAGACTTTGAGCCAGTACCTATATTTCTTTTATACCCAATGACTTGTTCATTGTCAAAAGCAGTTATCACTGTACCAGAAGGACAACGTGGTGCAGTATCTTCAGTAGAGGAGAGCCATTTTTTCAAAGTAGTATATGTTCCACTTGGACAGCTCTTACCAAGAGAGTCAATCGCTACTCGGCTACTAGTTTGCGTATAGATGTCAAGTGAAACAAGAAAAGCAAACGGAGTGACAAGTTTTTTGTATCTTAAACTGTACATGTATTCGACTACACGACAAAACATCAGGGCGAGTTGTGTATCAAGACTTTTAACTTGTACACAGTCTTCCCCAGCTATTCCAGCAACGAAGGAGACTATAGTTCTGTTTCGTTCATTCAACCAAACATTGGGATCTAGGTTAAGCAAAGTCTCTCTAGATGCATACTGCCTTGATATTTCTTCGCTGTCTGTTTGTAAAATGTCTTTTTGTTGCTTTGCAATTAGATAAGTGACTTTTGCCTGTTCTTCTTCTGAAAGATTTGTAATGTACAGTTTCATAAACGAATTCTTCTCTGTAGCGTTCAATTTTGAATGTAGCTTTAGAATATCAAATGCAGACATACCACCATCATATTTCTTTTGGCTTTCAGAGACAGAATTTAAGTTTATATCATCTCGTTTTGAGGGCTTGTGTTGTTTTTCTACTGGTAAAACGACTGTGTCAGGTGTATCAGCGTGTGTATATTTACGGAGAGATGCTTTCGGGGTTCCTTTATATTTACGTTTTCGCCTAATAATAGGATTGCAAACTGAACACGTGTCAGAGTCATCATGTGGAAAAAATACAACCGGTTCTACACTGGTATATAAATCTTTCTTATCAATCTTTGATTGTGCATATCGAAGTAGGAGCCTTTCATGATTCCTGCATAAAGATTTCGGGTGGATACTTGTGTCGTCTAAATCAACATTGATTTTGAATAATTCAAATATTTCCATTCGAAAAGCACCTTTATCTTTTGTACTATTATGCAGATCATGAGAACCACACATTCTACACATAAAGAGTAATTTCTGTTTATGAGTGTGAATGTTTGAAAAACAACTGGCAGGATTCAAACTGAAATGACAATAACAGATATTCACTCGATGTATTAATTTGAAATTAAATGATTAACATTGTATTACTTTTCGACAAAAAAAAATAAACAAATAAAAATAAATATCAGAAATAGTCTCCATTGCATAGAGTACTAGTAACTGTAAAGATATTATTGTGTAGATATTACAATACCATGTTTGTAAGATGCCTCCCCGAAAAAAAGTAATGAAAACGTGGAATTTCATTTGAATTTAACTGAAATGCATTTCAATATTCCAGTTTATACAATCCTTACAGTTCGATTATTCAAAAATCTAGTCGAGTTTATCCAGTGTGTGCAACAATTGGCTACGATAAAAATTTCTTCGGCAGAGCCGGATCATGGGAGCAGGATACCCGGCACCCCTTATGGAGATATATTATACTAGTATATGGTTAATGCATAAACTTCAAACTGAGCCTTCTTTCGGGCCTCGGTCAACCCTTTGTTTCAAAATCCTGGTTCTGCATCTGGTAACAATGCTCATTTAACATTTGTACGACATCATAGTGCAAAGAAAACCAACTGTTTAACTATAAACAGGTGCACATATACTTTTTATAATTATTTGTACTTGTTCAAAATACATTGTCTTGTTGTATGCAAAGATGCAAACGGCCATTCTTAAATAAGCGTTAATGTAACTATTCATTTTGTGGTCTTCTTTGCCGTCAGTGTGTAAGGTAAATCCATTTAGTTTCTCAAACATCTAAGGCAACGGTTGATAATATCCAATCTTATCGTAAAGCGTCAAGGTTAAATTGACAAATTGGATGATACCAAATGTATTTGTACTCTAAACGAAACAAAAAAAAAAAGATCGGCTTACTCTGTTTTTTTTCTTGATTCTAAATTTTGATCAAATACATTTAATACGTTCCGACAACGAACATAGTTTGTATATATATGTGAAAACCCAAAGGCACTTGGGGATGGTCCCCCTTTTTTCTAAATACTGGTTGTTTTAATGTTTTTTGCTAAACAATCTGTGATATTTCAACTTATTTTCACTCAGAAGTAATATATCATTATAGTCTTAACCACGGTCAATTCTTTAATTAAAAATCATAGTCTATGAAAACAAACAATAGGCCATGCAAAATGTGTACAGAGGATGACACAAACAATATTTTTATACACTCAAAAGCCGTTTGTAAATCTCTTACAAAACAGATGACGTTGACTGGATGGACAGCCAATAATGCTCACAGATTTTTTAAGATCTCATATGGCATCAATTATTATCGGCTCAGTTTGAACGTTATTTCTTGCATTATTGAAATGACTGAATCCAGGTGCTTGACATTACTTATCTACATAAACAAGTCTGGATGGAATTCTGTTTGCATGATAATATTGTTCTGTTAACTTGTGATCTCCATTTTACGTTTTAGTTTTTGGGATATATATATATTTCATAACTTACAGACATTTTATACAACAAATCGCTTCTTATTTACTATATTAAAGTAAAACTAAACGGTTTCCCAAGACGACAGATGTTAACGATGCAAGTCGACAGACAGAAGTGTATATATTTTCGTTGTTGGCCAACACATTATAAACATTTTACATTTGAATGTAATTCTAAAAATAACTTTCTGATTTATTATTATCTTTCCTGACATTTGCACAAGTTGTAAATATAATAGAATGTGTTACGTTAAATCGTATAACTTCCTTAGTAAAATGTAGATACATCTTGTAATCAAGTTTAAGTTTACTCAATAACCCTTGTAGGAACACATCTGTGTTTGTTGTTGAATTTATCAGAAGTCACCTACTGAGATCAAGTAATTCGCTAATCCTTATTATTTAATAATTTGTATAAATTGCTCTGAGATAAATTGTTAGTGATGTATGAAGTAATTTAGATTAGAATCACACAAAATAAGAAATGATTTCAGAAAAAAAATGGTATAAATCTTTTACCTGCCAAAAAAAAAATATATGTATCACCACACCTTTACACACAATGTTCATACTTGGTTCTAATTTTATGAATTGGTAAGAGTAAACATCTTTGGGAAAAGAAAAAAAACGGTATATGAATAAATTGAAATGTATGCAGAGGAAACAGTAATTAGACAGCAGCCAAACAAGACAAATAAAGTAATATTAAATATTGTTAAACGCAAAGTTTCACACCTTAAAGATATTCTAAAAAGATTCAAAGAGAAGTCAAAGAGAAAAAAAATTATCTTAATATATAAGAGTTTTTAAGGGTGTTGAAATAAATACAACACAAATATGAAAACTGAGACAACTGTCCAGAGATATAAAAAATTGTCAATTTCATGTACGTGAAACGCAAAATGTAAAAGAGATAATATAACTCAATGATCTTGGAATTGCGTCGTTTGGTATAATATTAATCCATTACATCACAGATTTTAATTTGGGATCAACTATACTAGTATATTTGTTTTGAATTGAAATAATCTAAAAATTAAGGAAAACAAAATTCCTGGGCAGTACCCATTACAGAGATACCTTTGATATTGCATTTACGTTGAACCATATGTTGTGTTAATTTTTGCTTTACATTAAAAGATGTTTACCTATCTATATGTATTTATGTTCATATTTGTGTAAAATAAGTTTATTTATACCAATCTATGAAAGTTGCATTCCTTCAAATGTTCTTTATAATTATAAACATATATATATAGTTTATTTGATACTAGGTGGATGTCAGTGACAAGTATTACATGCGTACTTACGATGAGAGCATGTTAATATAAAAAAGTATAAAGTTAATATAAAAAAGCATAAAGTGATAAGACGATAAACTCATGTTGGTAGGACCATACATGTACATATTCGACCAAGTAAATGTAGGCTGACTCGTTTACGTGCTACAAATTATCAGTCTCATTTGGACACATGATTATGACACCGAGCCAACAATTCTTTGCCTTCCTAACATAAGGGGGGAAATTAGCTAAATCAATGATTATTTTAGATTTTATAATATTGCAGTGAGGGTTAACTCTTAACATACCAACTGTAAACTATTTTTGTATAGGCTGTATATCTCAAATAAACACGCAAAAATAAATATCCATTAGAGTATGAAGCTAAGCCAGTGGAGTTTCAAATATGATATGCAACAACAATTTCTTATTTTTTATTTAAGTTAATGGTTCTAATTTAAAAAAGACATTATCTGTGAACGAACGGTTATATCAAACACATCGATTAGACCAATAGTTGATGAGGTATATTCAAGATCAACACAATCTATTATTGAATAGATGAATAATCAGTTTTTGTAAATCTTTTTTTTTCCTCTTATATTTATATGTTTTAAATTATTATTTTTTTTATCTTTTCGATAAAAGAAGACAAATTGAATCTGCATTGTTTTTAACATTTATGATCTTAAAATAGATATTTTTTTTAAGTATGATTGTGTCTTCAAAATAATTATAATAATTATTGTAAACGAAGTAATCAAACAATAACGTCCAGTTTTTATACGCCCGTCAAAATTTTGACGGAACGTATTATGGGATACAAATGTCCTGCGTCCGTCTGACCGTCTATCCGGCGTAAACATGTCGCACCGTAACTTGAGAACAACTTATCCAAATTTCATGAAACTTAATATAGTTGTTTCTTACGATGGTCAAACGATCTGTAAACTTTTGGTGAAAATAAGATTAAAACTTTTTGAGTTACGGGACTTTGTATCAAAAACAGGGGTGTGTATTTTCACATGTCGCGCCGTATCTCAAAAACGATTTATGATTATTGCTTTAAACTTTACACTCTTCTTAGTTGTATTAATCTAAAAATCTGTACACTTTTTGGTGATGATTCAAAATTTTATTATAGAGTTATTGAGTTTTTTGTAAAACAAGGGGGGTTTTTACATGTCGCTCCGTATCTCAAAAACGATTTATGATTATTGCTTAAAACTCTACACACTTCTTAGTTATATTAATCTAAAGATCTGTATACTTTTTGGTGATGATTCAAACTTTTATTTTAGAGTTATTGAGTTTTTTGTTAAAAAAGGGGGATTTTCACTTGTCGAGCCGTATCTCAGAAACTATTTATGATTATTGCATAAAACTTCAACACAAGACGACGGGCTTATCATGCGCTCGTGGCGCAGCTGTTTATTCTTTGTTTATATACATATATATATATATATATACATGTATATAATATCTTCACTACTAAAGGAAGAGACCGATTTCATTGAGCCGCAACTTCTCTGAAACCATGCAAAGTCGGAAATATTTTTGATATGACGTATAAATGTAGTGTTTTGTACATCCTAAAATTGTCATTGAAACAGTATTTTTTCCACAGAAAAGGATCAGAAAACGCCAGTTTTTTAGAAAATATCCAAATGCGTTATCAAACTGTGTTTTAGCGCATACTCAGTCCACGTACATGTACTGCCCGTGAAATCTATAATACTAAAATAACGAAATCCCATTTGTTAGCCGTCATGATGTAAATACGACGAATCAAATAATTACTATAGGACAATGGCGTTGATTAAGAATTACACCATTCCAAGGACTTTTGTTTTTCACATAATTAATATTACCAATAATTAACAAGTTCCGGGTCGAGTAGATGTCCTCTTCTTCTCTTAGTAAATTCCTCCGTTGTAGGAGCACCTTTGTCACTCGGGAATTGGAAGACCTTTCTTAATTGTATTACAACTGTCACGGGCGTGTTCTAGTATATATGTAATGCATATTGTGAAAAAGTAAGGACAATTCGCTTTTAATGTAGGTATTTTTATCATACACGGCAAATGTATCCCCATGATACCCAAAAACTCATTACTGTAGTGCTAGAGTATTGTGGCTATCATGTATATATAATTGTCGAAATCCGGATATGGTGTACAAATTTTTGCACCTCATGTTTGCGGTATACCATCTTTTCCGCAAGTTTATTGTTTTCTGTTTGGCATTAAATTAATAAGATCCATTTTTACATCTGGTGATCTGTTTATTTGGCAATCGTCATGGCAGTCAGCAGGGTTTAAGAACATCCGTTGTTCGACCTGCTAGTCAAATGCGTTTTGTTAAAATATACTTTTTCACTTTTTTTGGTCTTTTGGAAATTGTTGTTTGTGCTGTATTTAGACAACTCTACCAAGAAATTTGTTTTGCATGCACACGTATAAAAATTACGGTTTTTATCCAACGCAATCATAGGTTTGAACGTTGTTTTCAATTTGGACTTGTATATATAACGCAATCATAGGTTTGAACGTTGTTTTCATGATTGCGTTGGATAAAAACTGCAATTTTATACGTGTGCATGCAAAACAAATTTCTTGGAAGAGGGGTCTTCAGCACAAACAACATTTTCCAAAAGACCAAATGAGTGAAAAGGTATATTTTAACAAAACGCTTTTAAAATTACCAGCGTATTGATTATTGATAATTTGTATAGCACTCAAGATTGTTATTACAGTTTGACTACCACACGTCAAGATAAGTTTCATTTTACATCTTACTGATGAAGGATATTAGTTATCCGAAATATCTAAAATTTGTTCATGAATTAATTATTTTTTGGTGATGTTGTACCCTTTTAGACTTGTTATATATTATATTTGTAGTGTACTGTATCATAATTTTATGACCCATCGCCCCGTAAGACTTATCGTTGGCTATTATTCAGTCATTTTATATATATATATATATATTATATAAATTACTTCAATCTTCTTTAGGTATGTCTGGGGAATAGCAAAATGATCACTTTTCCGGAGCGTGAAATATACAAATAAGCAGCCACGTCCGGTAAGAATAAAGACGTTAAAACCAATACCTAAAGTTCTGTCCCTATCCAATAGAATTTCATTTTTCCTTGGTATTCCAAATTCAACTTACGTTTTCCCGCTCGACAGCCTACTGCAGGACATGCCTATTGTAATTATTATTTACGTGTTCTCGTCGTGAACATTCATGCAATATTTGCCACTGGACGTTAAGCAATCAACAACCAATCAGTCACTTCATTTAACTTAAAAGTTTATAAATGTTTAACAAACTCTTCAATTCGAGAAATACAACCTCATTTATTTTAAATTCATATAAAAAGGAATTTTGTTCCGTTCTGAATATTTGCAACTGAGCGATTAGCAAAGAATAATGAATAAATAAAATTAATGTCTAGCGCATTAAAAGTCATATTTTTGAAATTGATTATGCACCCTTTCAACCAGTGTTGATAAAATTTCACTTCAGATGTAAAACACATGGTCTCATGAATTAGATAAATGAACTTGCTTGCATTAAAATTGTCAGATGAAGTAAATTTATGATCAATTAGTTTATCACAGTGGGGCCAATAACTGTCAATGGAAATATCATCGGGATGAACAAATGCGCCCAATTGTTAAATGAATCTAACTGTATAGTCTAGAAAATTGACCAATTCTAAGTATACGTATTCATCGCCTTTAAAACAGTTAAGAATACAAGTGTTTGATGAATAACTATCCCTTTTTTGCCCGCACTCATGTGCACGATTCGTCTGTGTGTATTGGGGAAGGAAAGGCATTAACAACAAGTCATATCAAACTAATGTTTTTCATAAACTACTATTATTTGCATTTAGTGCATGTTTATTGATTTACCTTGACACTTCAGTCAAATATTCATCTTCATTGCCAGGTTGAATATCTTGATCTTCAGTCACTGGTCTGCCTCCTTCTTCGTTATTGCTATGTATCTGCAAGTCAATGGTGCCTTCAGTAACACTGGGAATACTTTCCTGTGAAATCATTTTAAAAATGAAGCAAGATGCACAATAATATGACACTTCAGTGAAGCCTAAGAAATATGCGAAACTAATAAGAAAGTATGCCCTTTTTATAATACTTTGAACACGCTTAGTACATGTAAACTACTTGGTATCTCTATTGGTCAATATTTTGGTACGCAAATTCTTGTGGGTGGTAGTACTAAAATATAGCTTCAGGAAAGAGATTAACCATATTTGTAGATCAGTCAACAGTATTTCGGTTATGTTTCATGCTTATGATTGCATGCTGAAAGGACATATGTTTCCGGGATAGGAGTGGTCGGGAAATCTACACCTCTGCATTGAAACTGTGACCCAGATTTCATTGAAGTTAATATAGATTGCTGTTAAAAAAAACTTTGATTTACTCTCACATTATATGTTCAAACACTTTTTATGTATATTAAAAAAAATCTAGATAAAAGTTTAATTTATATCGTTTATAAAAAAAAACTATATTTGAAATATTCCTTTTCAATAAGTTCATAATAAATAATCAACAATTAAGACGCCAAATTGAAATTGATAAATTCTTTTTTCAGAAGTTTGGAGGATGCATGACATTTCCTTTCTATTCAAGTCATGTATAATTCGTTTACATGTCGACTTTTAAATATGATCCTACTATAAAGTTATACATAAGAACCTCCTGTTCTCAACACACTTCCTCTTGGCATAAAAATTATGCGAATCTCTAATATAACAAAATATCGACATGAACCAAACGTGATGTGGTGTACGCGTCAATGGGAGAGCAACCCAACAATAAATAAAAACCAGAAAAGCATCCAATCATATTCAATTGAAAGTCTAAGTGTCGGACTAATGACGAAGTAAGTCTATTAGGGTATCGAAAAAAAATGGAGAAACTGAATATTTTAGTGTTCGACCGTTTGGTGTAGGACCAATTTTGGGTTGAACTAAATAAAATTGAGAATGGAAATGGGGAATGTGTCAAAGAGACAACAACCTAACCATAGAGCAGACAACAGCCGACGGCCACCAATGGGTCTTCAATGGGTTGGACGTTTAACGGATAAAACGGATGCTGAACGGACGTGAAACGGACATGAACGGAAGGATAACAGATATGTACCGAATGTGAAACGGATAAATGCCAATTGAAAATTTCGCGTCAGAAACGCCAATTATTGGTATGTCAGATTTCTTGAGAGTCATGAATGATTATTAAATGTATTTCTCAGTATATAGATGTCGGAATATCTGGCCTTCCACATGCATACGCATTGTTGAATATCGTTAAGAGACCTCTAGATGTTTATTATGGAACACATGTGTTTTTCAGTTAATATCTTATACAATTTCCCTCCCCAAAATATGTGTTACATATTGATAATCGTTTCATTTCAAAGATAAAAATTACCAAATGTTTGTAGACAGAAAAAATCAAATATTTTCTACCAAGACAAGGTGAATATTTAGAAAGATTACTTTCCGATTCAGTCGCCGGTATTGCTTGCTTTCCGATACGCTTAACGCTAACTGTAAATTTTTTGTTGTCGAAGAAGGAAGAGACACGAGATGAGGATGGATGAAACTTCAATTTAGTAGTATGTAGTGTTCTCACATGTATCACCCGGAATAATCTAGATAAAAATGAAATGCGGGTCATTACAAAAGAGTTGGACCGGGTTGGAAACCGTACCCCAAACGAAACGCTGCAAAAGATTTAATACAAGAATACATTTCTTTTGTATGAAACTTAAAACATTTTAAATTAGGCCAGTTTTCTAGTCACCAATTGACTTCCCTTTCATTATCAGCTTCATTCTGTAAAACGACTGCTTTCTAAACTCAGGAAACGACAACTTTCAAATTAAAAAATTTCCTAATCATCGGATCACTTGCAGACTATTGAATGTGTTTGTTTTTCATCTCTCTTGCGACGAGTAAAGCGAGACGCCGGGATTGCTTTTCCGGCTGCGGAGACGAATTCAACAATTGTTAAGTTTTCAGCTTTAGTTAGTTTGATAAAAGTTCTTGTAAAAGCTTAAGCCCCGGTCACACCTTACCGGATAGCGCGAACGGACGCTGAACAGATAACTTTTTTTTCAATCCGTTCATGTCCGTTAGACGTCCGTTCGTATCCGTTAGACGTCCGTACATATCCGTTTCATGTCCGTTAAGCGTCCGTTTCACCCGTTGACGTCCGTTCTGTCCGTTGGAAAATTTTGAGATAGTTCAAAACTTTGAACGGACGTTCAACGGATGAATTGTCCGTTAAACGTCCGGTAGGCGTCCGTCTTGTACGGTACTCGTCCCTTCTGTGTCCGTTTTATATCCGTGACTTGTCCGTTATACATCCGTTGGACGTCCGTTAGACCAATTCACCAACGGACTCCTACCGGACGTTTAACGGATAAAACGGATGCTGAACGGACGTGAAACGGACATGAACGGAAGGATAACAGATATGTACCGAATGTGAAACGGATAAATGCCTATTGGAAATTTCGCGTCAGAAACGCCAATTATTGGTATGTCAGATTTTTTGAGGGTCATGAATGATTATTAATCATGATGAATTTTATAGTAAGAGCACGTTTTCACTATCAAGCAGCTCTTATGCAGGCCAGACTGAACTTAAATGATGCAAATATATACCTTCTAGCTGTCCAATGGACATGACAAAAGAGATGGTGGATAAGATCAAGGCTTAGTCCTGAAAGACGACGCAGTTTTGATCTATATGACCAACTCATGACCGAACTTAGGCATGATGATCGGCAGTCATATGTACACTTTCTTCGAATGCCCTAAAAGGTGTCCGACGAAATATTGCAGAGGGTCGCTCTTCGCATAGCAAAGCCGAAGCCATTTTACAGAAATCCTCTAGAACCAGGACTTAAGTTAGCAATTACATTTAGAAAATTTGCTTCTGTAGCAAAATATCGTAACTGCAGTACTGTTGGAGAGTTCCGCATAACACCATATCCGTTTTCATACTAGAGGAACTTAACATTAACAATTTTTAAAGTATCAACTTCAACTTTAAAAGAATGAATTACTACGTTGCTTTAACATTTTTCGAATCAGAGTAGCGCTATATTTGCACACATAGCATGTAAAACAAAACGTTTTACAAAAACAAATAAATTCAACTAAACAAGTGCACTAAGGTGTACCTCGCCTTTAAAATAATCGGATAAATTGTTCTATTTGTTTGGTACGTGTGACCTTGAACTTTGTCCTACTGACCTCACTTTCGCAAAAGCAAATGTTATAATAAACGGTTGACTCATACTAGTATTTCATGTCCATCTGACACGCTCCTGTCATCGCTAGGGACAACAGTGCGCAAAACATTTTTACATGTAGGGTTCAATCAGTTGTTTGCATGTATATTAGCCAAGGAATCACCGCTTACCATGTTGATCCGTTTTATCCGGTACGCTTCCGTTAGGTGTTTGTTTTATACGGTACTCGTCCGTTGGATGTACGTTCGACATCCGTTCTGTCCGCTATGTTTCCGTTTCTCGTACGTTACATGTCTTGTGTGTGTCCGTTAGGCATTCGTTACGCGTCCGTTTTATTTGGACAGTACACCAACGGATTCCCAACGGACAAAAGTTTTGTCAACGGGAAAACTTTTTTTTCATCCGTTCGGCGTCTGTTCGAGCTATCTGGTAAGGTGTGACCACAGCTTATTGATATTTAAAACAAAGTTGCATTGCTGTCAGAACATATCAGTTTGGTGACTATTTCGAGTCCCTGTCCCCTAGGTCATAGTCCAGTGACTTTGAATAAATAAGCAATTTTTAATCTTAAGTTTTCTGCGTATGTTAGTTTACTAAGAACTACTTGTGATAGATTAATGATATTTTGTGTGAACTAACATTAATTTCAGACTGTACATACTAGATGGATGATTATTTCATGAATTTCCCATTAGATAATGGTCCATCGACTAAATTAATAAACTATGTTGCTGTGCATCATATTGTCTCTTTCTGAATTGTATGCCGACAGGCGAAACATGTCTCTGTGTCAACCGTTTATGATGTTAATAAATTGATTCCGCACATCACAGCGGAGGTCGCAAGTCGAATTGACACCTTACCTGGTTCTACAACTGGTCAAATCTACACTTGGTATTCCCGTTGATCCAATAAATGTATATGTCGACACACAACTGTGCCAGAAAATCTAAACGATAAAACTTACGATGCATAAAAATATAACAAGATATCGATATGAATCAAAAGAGGTCTTGTTACACGTCAATGGGATCTTCATTCCAATATAACTATAGATGTGTATCTGAAAATATGCTTATCAAAAATAACTACATCCGCAAAAGGTTAAAGGTTTGATAACACCGGTACCAAAGAATTGTTATCTGATCAATGCTCCGAAAAAAAAATGTATTGGTTCAATTTTTACTTAAATTCACTTAAATTTACTCTAAGTTTGTAGCTTATTTCCAAATAGAGCACATATTAATTAACGCCAGAGGTCGACAAAAAACTTCATTTTGACAGATTTTGTTTCTGCCAAATTTAGCAAAAATATATACTTAGTTTATGAAATGTTTAAATGTTGTATCAAAGTGCCTTTTACAGCAACGTGTAGCGCTGCATAGCTTTTTTATATTTTCAGACTTGACCGGGTTAACAACTTTTAGATCAAAAGCCTCAATGACGCGAAAGATGACTATATATGTATTGCTATGTGTTTGTTTATTCCCCATTGGCTAGAGGTATAGGGAGTGCTGAGATCTCACAAAACATGTTTCAAACCGCCAAACGTTGCACATGAGTAACGGAAAGCTTCGTAAGAAATAAATTCGTTATCTTTGTGTTATCAGGGGTGTATAGAATTTTACTGCGGTGTTCCTTTACTCATTTTTAAACCGGGATGTAAAATTGAAAAATGATAATGAAGATTTTTGTTCCTAATTTTAGCAAATTTTATTTATCCCCGGGTGTACAAGGGTGGGGTGTTATTTACACTCGTGTAATTTACCAATCAGATTTAAGGATTTTTCTACATAAGAAACAAGAAAAGATACATACGAGAACGTATATAATACTAGTCAGTTCTACAATATACCTACGTGTATGCAATATATGTATAAAAGGCGTTCAAAAACACGAGCCCAACGTACGATACTAAAGAATATATAGTATCAAAGAATACTGTCCTTTTTGTACGTCTTTTTATACAAATGAAGAGGGTTGGTTCCTCCCTATCCGATACAACATATGATTTCGTTCTGCAGATAAAAAAACGAATTTAAACTATCAAATTTTAAACCATTGAAAATTTTCTATTGCAACCGTGTAACTCTGACGATGTTTGTTTTCTAGTATTAGATTGATTATGCCATACAATATTGTTTTAGTACATATTTTGTTGTGAGTGACCGAATGACAAAAATTTTGAAAAAATGTTTCTGATTTACAAATGTATTTGTATTTTTGAAAAGCATTAAAACAAGATATTATGGTCAAATCTCGTTCATTGTCGTTTTAATGCAGAATGGGAAATCTTGTGACAAAAACTAATCGAAATACTAAGGATTTTCTTCCACAGGAAAACATGTCTTAAGCCTTGCATTTGGAATTTTGTATCCTCAATTCTATTCATCTTCGAACTCATTTTGCCATTTTAACTGTTTTGATTCGAACGTCACTGATTAGTCTTATGGAGACAAAATGAGCGGTGATTGACATTTTTATAATCGTGTCACTTAGTATTTATGATGATATTTTGTATCCCCTTCTACACACTCTAAAACGGAACTCTTCAATTGTAAGAACATTTCCCCGCTATAACAGATTAGTTCATTAAAAAAAATATGGACACAAACAAATCGACTGGAAGACAGTAAACATTACATGTAATACATTATTCTGACTCCGATCCGACTAGTGTTTGCTTCTACTCCTAAATAACACGCACTCAACTAAGACGCATCAAATAACACTGTTCATGACAAGTCTTTGGTTGGACTTGGCTGTCCTGTCAATTTGAGATTGTGAGTTCAAGCCCCCCATGAGGCATTTGCGATTGACTCTTATCTTAATTGACTAGAATAGCCAGTTTTCTTGCAGAAGGTCGGTTGTTCTCTCCGGGTACGCCGGCCTCCTGCACCAATAAAAATAGCCAATAGTGATGAATAAGGCGTTAATCACCAACAATGTATCAATCAATCACAGAGTTGCAAAAGTGCTCTTTGGTGTCTTAATCTGTAGATTTCAGAGTATGGCTAAAATAAGATTTGAGGAAGATGAATTATGTGTAATAAGAAAACAACACTATAACCAAAAGGCAAAAAAAAAAAAAACAAACACACACACACAAGCCAAAAACCATCTATAGCAAACGGTTTTCAATATATAGTCTATACCATATGTCAAGCTCTATACAATTGGGAAATAGTTGTTTCTTGTCATTCACTTCTACAAACCAATAGGCGTTTATATGAAACTGTAATAAAATTGTAGCATATTTCTAATTTTGATATTCATGGAAGCTCTTCAAAATCTTTCATACCATTCATCTTGGTGTTTTTCTAAATCTAGTTTCGTTATCAACTGTAGTTGAGGTACTTATTATTACGACCAAACAAATTGAAAAGTGCATTGTTCTTCATTACATTTGTTCAAGTCTAAAATTCAGCTAGAGGAAATATATTTGTATGTGACTACAAAGAAAAGAGGCTTGATGGGGTTAACAGAATACAGAATGATGGGCAAAAAATAGAGAATATATGGCAAACAAATAGTGGATAAAAGGCAAAAACATAACGGGTAGAGGTAAATATGTCAAAAGAAAAGTGAATAATGGTGTACTGATGTGTATATATATATATATGTATTCAGAAGAGAGAATATGGACAAAACAAAAATATAAAGACATACAGCCCACCACACACATACACACACAAATTATAACATTTTAATAGATGAATGAATTCAATTTTTTTTTATCTCTATTTAACCACATACCGCATGTTCTGTGCCGTACCCATAAGAACATGCGATCGAGACTGAAAGCATTAGAAGACACACACAAAAAAATGTTTGAGTGGACTAAAATGCATATTTTCAGATCTTTTCTATGAGTTAGGCTTATTTAGTGACCAACGGTAAAGGTAATTATCCCGCTTCCTCTAGAATCATTATTTTTCTGATTATTACAATTTCGCCATTCTATAAACTAGTATTCATTTTTGTTTTGTTTCAATAAACCTCTTTTTCTCGTATGTGTCGGACAGGATTTTTCGCTTGAACTCTATTTCGTCTAGTTACTCGATTTCTCACTTGAACTATTACTCGAACACTAACTCGAACTCGAAGTATAAATTAAACTTGAACTTGAACCCCAATTCGAATTCAGACTTCAACTCAACTTAGAGTTGAACTGATACTCCATTTTTAGCTTGTTTTTTGACCACACTCTAAATTTACAATAACAACATAAAGAATTGTAATTCTCATATAGTATAGCTAAGTAACTTTCCTGCATGTAGTGTCTGTTCTTTTATTGTATGTGTTATCAATCTGCTGATAGACATTTAGATATACCAAATATTACTAGTTTATACTCGCCACAAGTATTGTTAATATCTCAACTTTGGAACCTCTTTTGGTTTACAATAAAATTTTGATTGTTTCCGTTTAATATTTATTCACAACTTTATAGATAGAGGACTTATGTCGAACGATTGGTTTACTCAGTTAAAGTTACCAGAATGAACAACATTTATTTCAATGGTGATCCACTAACAAAAATGATAGTAATCATACATTACAGTCAGAGTACAACCAAATAGTCTTGGTCAGTTTTTCAAACTTCATTAAATTATTCTACCTCGGTATTCCACAAGTTGTTCAACTGGGTTCAGATTACGCTAAAAAATTAAAAATTATACATCAAGGATTGACTTGGTATTTGATCTGAGATCACTTTGTGGTAGGAAAACCCCGTTACAAAGTGTTGACATGTGAAAGGTGTCTGATTTATCGCGATAAACTGTTAACTTCAATATTCCCACACTATAAGTAATCGGTACTATAACTGAATACAAGTTGGTTTTTTTCATTGTAAATAATGCAATCGCTTTTGATTAGTGAATCGTAAGAAGTATATAACATTTACATTATTTGTTGTTTATTATTGAATTTCCTTAAGGATGTTCGCTCCTCTTGTTTTTGATTTTTTTGTCAGATATTCGGAATCCTCTGGTTTTATCCATGTTTTTCCATAAAGAAATTTTGTCCACTAACCCCTACTTTTCTTTTCATAATTTTATAACATATAGTTTAAAAAACATCTTTAAAAATCTTATAAAATCCTTGTTATTTTTTCAATGTTTTTGAAAGAAAAAAGGTGCCAATGTTAAATGTATGAAAAGTCTAGAGAGAATCATTTCCCGCCAAATTTGCAATGGCTTATATCTCGAAAACAAGCACACGGACCCTTCATTTTTTTCTGCTTTTTTAGTTCCTTCATTCGTATTCTATCAATTTATGACAGTCTTTCAAAAAGCTTGTTATTTTGAAACAGAGTAGCGAACATCTTTAAAAATTAGGGGAGCACACAATCATGGTCAATCTATTTATATTCAAAAGTTGAGAGATACTTATGATTGTTGAACAAATTGACATCAAAATTATACGTTAACTTTTCTTCCTACTTGTTTAAAAATGAATTTTCGATAACAACAAGAATATCAATATTTATAAATTAAACTGTTTGATAGGGTTGTACATAGGATTGCAATGTATTCGTGAAGGGGAGCAAGATATACGATACCGGTATCCCAGCCGTATCATATTTTTCTTACCTTGAAAAGGTAAATAAATAATTGGATGGGCTAAGTAGATAATGAAATATCACAAATATCATTCTGATCAATTAACGATTTTTGACATGTATCTTAAGCTTTATACATATCAAAATCTTAAGCTTTATACATATCATTTTACCGTTCCGGCTCAGGCGAGAAAATCAATCTCGTTGAGATGGCCAACGATAATCTATCATATATATTTTATGCATTGGGGTATGCATTTTTAGTTGAAGTGGTTACTTTGTCCAGTTTGAAAGGTAAAAAAAATGTCTGAAGCTGTCAAACTGAATTACAGACCCCCTTAACATAAAATTATCCATCTTTTGAATCACAGCCGATAGATTTGTCTATAATTTTGATATGATGTGTACACTACACTGCAAATATCTTTTTCCGATAGAGCAGGTGTGATTTTTTTAATTTGCATTGTTTGTCTCAAAGAAATGCACTACGAAATAATAGTGTCTGGACAATACGCATTTGTCTGGTTGTTCTAGAAATAACCTGGTGCACATATCTAAATACATATCCTTGAGTCATTTGGTGAAGTACTTTAAGAACTAAAATTGCTTTTCTGTATACAAAATCATATATAATTGGCATTCATTGTAGCTTTTCCAAAAGTACTATCCAATGTTAGGGTAGGTTTGAGCGCCCTCAAACATGTTTAACCCCGTCATATTCTTTATGTGCATGTCCCAAGTCCGAATCCTATAGTTCAGTGGTTGTCGTTGGTTCATGTCTGTGATATTTGTTTTTCATAAATTGGTTTGTTATAAATAAGGCCGTTATATTTCCTTATCGAATCGTTTCGTATTTTTCATGTCGGGGCCTTTAAATCCAACTATATGGTTAGGGTTTTCTTATTGTTGAAGGCCGCATGCTGCTCTTTTTTGAAGCTTTAAAAAATTTCAATCATCATTAGCAACATTTTTTGCACCTTGTCAAATGGTACAATAATAATTAAAATGAGGAAACCATTAGTATTTCGGTTTCAGAAAGATTTCTTTTCTTTCAAAGGTTTAGTCAATGTATGTATAATGAAATGGAGTTGACCTAAGGACAAAACTAGTTTTTTTTTATCTCATTATGTTTCATTTAATTTTCAATATAAAAATATTTTTACTATCAAAAACACAGCTTTGCTTGGGGAAAATGTTATATGTGCCTCCCCCTTTCTCTTGTTTTTTAGTGTTAAAAAAACTATTTTTAATAAAAAATCATGGCTTGCAAAATCAATGATGACTTCATTCAGTGGAACCAAACTTCAAGGAAATGATAAATTCAGGATCTTCTTTAGGAATCGTACATGCCCATTGAAGCTATAAATCAGTGGACCGACTCCTAACCTTCCATGCTGGAAATTCATGTTTTGTTTTCATTGTTACTTTTTTCCAGAAAGCTTTATCTTGAGTTAATAATCAGTAACGTGCGCGGGAAATGTTCAAGAATTAAAAGTTTCAATTCTCAGTGTTTGCATTAGAGGACATTATTTGCCATTATATTCTCCACTGGATGCTACAATAGCCACTTAGCCATACGCATGCATAGTCACTATTCTTGGTCAATTCTGACCGGAATAATAGCATGATGGCAGAGAAAAGCTATTTTTCACGATGTCCGGAAGAATAGACATTTTTTGCTATTTTTTCCTGCTTGCCGTAACACAGACGCTTAGGGAATGGATCCCGATTTTGAACTTTTGTTTGGTGTATTTTAACCGAAGGCGGATCCAGAACCTTGATGGGATCATGTCTTTGGGGGATCATTAAATGAAACCAAAATTAAATATTTATTTAGAGATGTACTTATTAGAGTGTGTGGTAATGGTTGGGGTGTCAGTTCATCGTTTCTATAGTTCTATTTTTACAATTTCACTCTATTCTTTATTCCTCTGCCAATTGGTATTTATATTAGTCCTAAACATGCATGAAATATTTGCCACCGGACGCCAAGCAACCAACAATCAATCAATCTAATCTTTATATTTCATCACCTATTATTTATATTTTTTGGTCCCATTATTCACTTTTCTGTAAATCCCTTTCATCACTCATAAATGGTGACCCATGCATAGCCTCATATACATGTACATGGTAATTGAAACAAAAAAAAAAAAGGGAAAAGAAAAAATTACATTCAGTTTCACAACAAATCTTGTGTGAAAAAAAGTGTGTTGTTGATTCAAGCAACAAAAAGACAGTTCCTAAGAATAAAATATTCACAAGAAATGATAATGTGAGAATTTTATCGATACCATCATTATTGACACTAAACAATTATTTATACATATTCGTTTATAACACAAATTTTAGTATGTAAGTTCTTTCCTGATCAAAAGATTTCACCTGTTAATATATTCGGACTATTCAAAACAACATGTACATGTACTTTATATCAAATCTTTTGAAAAGAGACATTACATACAGGAGTCAATTTTTACCCACTCATTGATAAGTTGTCAGAAATCACGTATATTGAAGCTGGGGTATTCACGGCCAGTTATATGAGGTAAAAACAAGCTTTTGTGATTGATTTCCGCTCTAGATAAACAGATCTAGCAGTAAAACACGTTCTCTTACTTGATGCACTTAGTTAAAACAAGTAATTCCTGAAACCACCCAGTTATTACCGTAATTTTAAAATGAGTTTTTACACCTATTTACTAACTTTTGAAAAAGACATTTTATATTCTATTCATGTAATACTTTAAGCAAATTATGCTCATCAGCACAAAAAATCGGTCTTTACTGGCTCTTAATTTTTTTAAATTACAATCCCAACTAGTGTTAATCCCGAATAACCGTAAAAAATATTAGGTTCAATCCTAAATTCCTGGTATGATAATAAAACCTATCTACAGTATTTATTGTTAACATGATGTCGTTCAAAAAATGCATGAACTATTTGGCACTGGACGTTATGTTTCTTGTTTGTGTGTCTTTAGTGATGCTCGAAATCTACAATTTATTAAAAAACCAGATAAACAGTTTTTGATTTGAACTGTTGAAAAAAAGGAAGTCAATTCTGCCTAAAGCCCGCCATCGCATTAATATAAAAGGCATCATCGGAGTTAATTAGTAACACATAATTTACATAGCAAACGATTAATTCAACTGCACAAGAACTTTTTGTATGTTCACTCTAAATGAGCATGAAATACTTGCAACTGGACAATAAGCAATTTCAGTCAAAATCTAATTCTTGTGTTACAGATTGAATTTGCAATTATGATAATCATTAACAACCGGAATTGAAAAAAAACTAATAAATGACAAATTCATCAACTGTTTCCCCCATCATAGAATTGCCTTAACGTTATTTATTCGGAGTGGTATTTGTCCGGCTAGCCGGACGTATGTTTTAGCACTATTCGTCCGGCCATTGCAATGCGCATGTCACTTTATTGCCATGTGCGTGCGCGTAATATTATCTTCAGCAGCACAAAGGGGTCGCGTGTAATCCTATCACTAATGTTTGGATCATGGCTGGAAACGGCGGTATCAATATTTGTGATAAATTTTCCCG